TTCAAAGACAATAAAAAAAAATAACAAAAAACTACGACGACGTTTCGATCGCAACGCGAGCGGTCGTCATCGCTTGCGTTCCGATACAAACTCATTTCGCGGTTGTTGTGGAACGTTGCGGTCAAATCGAATATAATCTGAACTCTGTACTCTGTCTCTTGCAGATTTCATCGGCCCATGGCGACCAATATTACGGAGCAGCATTTGAATGTCAAACATTGGACCCGTGTTGTTGATTAACGTCTACTCTGCCCGCATTGACGAGGCGGTGTTAATGAATTGTAACTCAACTCGGCCTCTCGTCGGTTTATTTTTTTGGTCTGTGGCAGCATTAATAATGCATTGAGGTCCAATAATTAAAACAATACAGCAGGTGTCTGCGCATACATTGCTCTCACGTGGGTCGTCATCTTTCAAGCGATAGCCTTAATTGTGAAATGTGAAAATCGTTAAATCCTCCGCGTGGCAAATGGGGTTTGTTTAAAAGTGCTGCACCCAATAACATCATTACACGCATCGCCATGAGCTACGATCAATACACTGCTGGATGAAGGTCTTCTTGCAAGCCATCCGCCAACCTCTCACGATTCTGAGAGGCAAAAAAACGATCCGTCCAGCACCTGCAACGTCCTACCGTGCACGCAGATAGGGGCCGTCCATAAATGACGTCACGCGATTTTGGACGATTTTTTATCCCCCCCCCTTCGTCACACGACGTCACAAAAAGTCAGACCCCCCTCAAATATGACGTCACAAATCTCTGCCCCCCCCCCCAAATAAAACGTGCTTCAAATCGCTTTAAACTATTGTCATTGTAGTGCGTATTTAATGTGCCGCTGCACTCCGATGTTGTAGGAGAAAACATTTATTAAAAAGTCTATTTAATTAAGTAGAACGTGTTGTCTATATTTATTTCAAATTGCGCATTTTGATGTGACTTAACATTTCTCAAACCCCCCCCCCCCCAGGTGCTTGACGTCATTTATGGACGGCCCCATATCAGAGTGAATGCTACGGAGGCGCGTCTTGTTGCACCGTCACCAATGGCCCTTTTTTGCCTTTTATTTTCAGACCTTTTGTCAATCCACTGCTGGATGAATGTCTCCCCATGCGGTATCGCTTGTGGAGAGTGTGGGGGGGGGGGGTGACCATACTTCACCATGTTGGGTCAGTGCGGGCTGGTGAACGTGGTGAGCATCGGACGCTGGGTCCGTCGTTGCAGGACAATGGATTTAGCAGCGCTGCCCTCTATTGGTGATAAAGTGGCCCTGCAGCAGCAGCAACAGTCTTGCAGCAGCCTTGTAGTAGCAGAAGTAGCCCTGCTTCAGCAGTAGCAGCAGCAGTAGCAGCAGCAACAGCGCTGCCCTCTACTGGTGATAGAGCGGCCCTGCAGCAGCAGCAGCCTTGCAACAGTAGCAGCAGCAGTAGCAGCAGTAGCAGCAGCAGTTGCCCTGCAGTAGCAGCAGCAGTGGCCCTGCAGTAGCAGCAGCAGTAGAAAGCAGCTGAGACAACAACACCGGTTGTGTAGGCATCGTGGTCACAAAGCCCACACGACCCGAGTGGCGTGTGGAGGTCCCGCATCCAGCAAGAGGATTGGCAAAGCAACCCACACCTGTACATGCACACGCGCATTAAGATACACGTGCACTGACCGACAGATTCACGCGAAGAGTAGCATTATCAAATGCTAAGACGTGTTTCGCTTGCTCTTCAACATTTCTCATCATCCTCCTCCTTCGGTTTGCTGAAGAAAAAAATGTTGACTTGAAACTTTCGTGACTGCAGGAATTCATATTCTTGGGTCTTTCGGTAAAGTCACGTAGATAGGTTCAAAGAAAATAACAAAAATAAAAAAAACTACGACGTTTTTTCCCCTCCTGATGACGATTGCTTGTGTTGCGATCGAAACGTCGTAGTAGTTTTTTGTTATTTTTGTCATTTTCTTTGAACCTATCTACGTGACTTTACCGAAAGACCCAAGAATACAAAAATAAAAAACCTAAGACGAATCGAGTTGCATATTTTCCCACACCGTACACTCTCGATTTGCCTGGCCCCTGCCGGGTGGTGGAGGGTTATCGTTCACAAATTGGCCATCGGCATAAACCGCACGATCGAGTCCCCACAACGGAACCACTTTAGGGATCGTCACCAGTGCCGGATGACCCTAGTAGCACAAGTAGCTACACGTGTAGTAGCTGCTACACGTGTAGTAGCTACACATGTAATAGCTACTACACGTGTAGTAGCTACTACACGTGTAGTGTAGTAGCTACTACACGTGTAGTAGCTACACATGTAGTAGCTACAACACGTGTAGTAGCTACAACACGTGTAGTAGCTACACGTGTAGTAGCTACAACACGTGTAGTAGCTACAACACGTGTAGTAGCTACAACACGTGTAGTAGCTACAACACGTGTAGTAGCTACAACACGTGTAGTAGCTACACATGTAGTAGCTACACATGCTCCAAGCCCCGCATTTCCAAGGGCCCCGCGCTAAATGCTTTCCAGCTATCAATTCCGGTTCAGTGGTTCTGCACGTGCTCTATTACTATAGTACTATACTGCCTTCAACTTTTATGAACGACTGGGTGTTTAAGGTTATCGATTTGTCGTATTATCTATGCTGTATAGCAATTGAAAACATACAATTACTTTACTATGCAAATAAAAAATGTGCGTGTTTTAATATTTACGTGTTTTTATTTATATTAAGGCCCCTTAATAACAGATGCTACAGGATGAAAGTCATGAAACCTGCTTTGCCAGTATTAAATTATGATAATAGGCGTTCCCCTTTCTGGCAATAAAACAGGTGTTAAGATGTTAAAACACCAACATGAAACCTTTGCAAGAAAGGGGAAAACCCTATTATCATAATTGAATACTCGCAAAGGAGGCCCCATGATGTAGCTGCTCACCCCTAGCTATAAATGCCCTGATAGTGCGTTGTCTTTGTGCTGTTCGCCTTTTGTCGTCCTCTGGTCTAACACCGTTTGAGACGAGGCTCTAAAGAAAGCTGTCTATGGTGTGGACCAATCAGTTTCAAAGACAATGTACATACTGTCAAAGCATGCTTTTTTCGCATGTTCACCACAAGTTTATGTGGTGAATGCAGACATAATTCCTTGCAAAGGTTTCAAGTTGATGTTTTAACATCGTAACACCGGATTTGTTGCCAGAAAGGGGAAACCCCTATTATCATAATATGCTACTTAGCTTACTCCGGCACTGATCGTGAGACAATCCCACACGCGTGCGACAACGTTCACACACAAAAAAAAACCGTGGCTACCCGCAAGAGCGTCGCGGGCCGACATTTTACCAATCCAAGCCTGTTTGAATTTTTTGTTTGTTAACAACGCAACTTTGCGAATGGTTCAAAAATCCACCGCGAAATCTGCCGTAGAGGCACGCGGGAAACTCGTGTCGCCATCTGACAGCGAAAATCTCTCAACTCCGGCTCAAAAGTGGTTTTGGCAGCTCCTGCAAAAAAATCAAAGAGAGAGAAAGAAGAGCCGCAACTCCGATGAGTCCGAGTTTGTCCGATACCGTCGATGCCAGAATGTCAGGATGTCGCAATGGATGAATAAAACACACATTTTGTAGATAGAACACCAACAGCGGCATGAGTCGCCATACGGGCGCTCAGAAAATTCGCTAGATGGCGCTAGACCAGGGGATTGTCGGCTCGAGCAAACAACACCAACAACAGCAAACCGTGTCAACCCACACGGGTTACCAACCCGTATTCTTGTTAGAGGTCGCAAACGGGTTTTGATTCCTTACCCGTATCCGGCCGCACCAGGGTCGCAAACGGGTACGTGTACCCGGCCGGGTACCTGATTGCGACCTCTGGGATGAAGCCATGTTGCAGGCGCGGGTGGGTTGATTCTAGGAACTTGAATTGTGAGAAGAGACAAGACGTTGGGAAATGAGTGACAAACAGTTACTCACCAGTGACTCACGGCCTACCCGTACCCGGTCGCACCAGGGTCGCAAACGGGTACCGGGTATCGGGTAGGGTACGGGTACCGGGTACCCGGTTGCGACCTCTGATTCTTGTGCAGGGAAATTGAGTTTCAAGGTCCATACAGCGTACAGCCGTTTCAATGCGGGCAACAAAAACAATTTTATATTTTTGTCTGTTTGTGTTTCTCCCTTGTGATGGGACGTTGTAGGATGGACGTTGAGATTTATAAGGGCACGGGGTGACCAATGAGGTCTGAATTGGTCTGTAATAAGGTAGGGGGCACTGATAAGGGGTTCACAGGTATGCAACGAGTGCACCTCGCCACGACGTCGCCGGCGTGGGCACGTGGGCTTCCGAACATCGGAAGCAAGAGCGTTCCAGACGGCCGCTGAAGCGCATCTGAAAGAGCGGCCACCGCATCGCGCGGCGCTTTCTGCTGCGCTTCTGTGACCGTCTGGAACGCTCTTCCCTTCCGATTATAAGGAAGCCACCGGTGTTGTGCACTTTTAAAACATCCACTAGATTGACGAACTCATTTGTGCAGAAACTGCTTTTTGTGTTTCGTTGTCCTCCGCCCACACCTCTGCTTAACATCGTTGGCTACGTATGGTGTGAAAAAAGTTCAACATCCGTACATACAAAACTCGAAATCAAGGAATTGGCTGTGCATGCGAAGGAGGAGCTGGGAACCCTTACACAAAATGGTCTTCATACTCCACTCAGTATTAGCAGTACAGTATTGTTAGCGTGTTTATCGATACTCCAATAGAGCCTATAATATATTGTTGATATGTAAGAAATAACGTTGTCGGCAACACATCCCCATGTGGTCTACAATGGTATAACGAACCCTCTTAGCGCTGATTTGGTTAGCGCTCGTTTCTTCAGGAAGGCATCTTGATCGCTAACCGAGGTCTCTGCCTGTATTTGTTAAACTCTTAGAGTTTTATTATTGTTCACCGAATGACCGTTTTTACCACCGATTAAGCCTTTTTCAAGTAACAAAACACTCCACAATGTGATACAACGAAAGGCTTTCTTTATTTACCATCATGTTAAATATTCCTAACACTAACAGCGAGATACTGGAAGCGGGAAAAAACAAACAATTACCCATATGAAAAACGGCAAAGGAAATCATAAAATAAAAAAACGTCCCCCCCCACCAAGTTTTTCATTTAAAAGAAATAAAAACACTGCACAAGAGTAACACGTCCTGCACACACATGCACATTCCAAGCAGAGCCTGACCAAAAAAATAGTCAAATCCCACGTCTGGCTGCAGGAGCAATAACACCAGCCAACATTGTAGGGAGAGAGAGAGAGAAACTAAATCGAAGGAAAAACAAAAGAGAGGGCAAGGGGGGAAGTGGGAGGACTTTGAAGGGGGGTAGAGACACTTTTACAATTCTGAGAAATGAGGAGGGGAGGTTTTGTCCAATGCACTGAAGAAAAAAAGAAGAGAAATCGTCTCTGGGCTCTCTGTTGCCCGGCGGTCGCTCCTGATATAACTGTGCTTGGGGAGGGTGAGCGAGTGCACCATTCACCCGAACGCTATTCAGTCTGTTCTCCCATTCACGAGCGTTTTCACAGCGCCAATTGGATATAGCGCGATCGAGTGAACGGAACTACGTCGCGCGAGTCGGAGCAAGCGGTAGTACGGCTGCCTCGGCGTAGCGTCGCACAAGGCATCGGGATACTGCTGGATGCTTCTAGATGCTACCCACGCACCTCGGTCTTTGTTCAGCCTGCGTTACGCATCTCACCGTGTTATCGCGGACTGTGCTTTACCCTATATTATATATTATTTATTATAACGCGATTTTATTTTTTCCCCGTAACGCGTTGTTCTTCAGGAACGCATCTACCGCGTTACAGGAGAACAGACTGTACAATATTTTTTTTCTAAATTTCCCAGCGCCCACGTTCGTTAAAAATCACCGCACGAAACTTTCGAGTGGATTACAACGTGCAGCTGTTAAAACTGTGACATGATCTAGCTCGGGCGTTCTAAGTCCCATTCCAAGTGGTTCTGTTTTTATTACAACTACTCCGATTGCCGTGGTTAAAGTAGCGTTTATTAGCAATGTCAGCCTAGAAATGTGCAGAGTCATAGTTGTGACGTTGACTCGAGACGATCATCCACTCTATGGTCAAGGTGCTAATATTTATACAAAATAATCTCTATTTCCCCCACCTTAGAAAAAAAAGTACAAAGGACGACATTAAATAAAGTAGAAACAATAGAAAAATGTTCAACGTTAGAAAATTTAAAGCATAAAAGGATGTTAGTTTTAAGCTCACCACGCAAGTGTACCGTTATAAAATCGACACGTTCATGATTAAATTTCACCTCGTCGGAAACCGTAATATCCCAACGCATGACGCGTGAAGGAGCCCAGAGTTGCGTTGTTTCTGGAAAGATTTCGAGAAGAGACGTCGATCCGCCGTAATCTCGTACACAACTTTAGGGCCGCTCTCATCTAAAATTAAAAAATCCCAGAGTGCACCGGTGTGACATGGGCAGCACTTAAGTAGCATTTGATCTTTCAAGGGAAATACTTTAAGGGGCTCATCCACAAACGAACAGCGTTTTCCCAAGGTCACACGCGCAGAGCGCCATGTGGCTTGGGCAACTCAGCGGCAGTGGGTTTTCGTCAACTGCGGTTGGAAAGCAAACTTGGGCATGAAAGACACGGGCGCTTATTAGGAGAGGTGGTGCGTGTGTACGGAGGTGTGGGAGACAGAGAGACTGGGGCGGGTGGGTTACGTGAGTTTCAGAGAGAGTGAGCACAACACTTAAAGCAAGTTTAATTCTTATGGCTGACCCCTGACACCCTGTTCAACACCTTGCTTCTGCACATCTTTACAATGCTTTGGTGATGGCAGTGGAATCAGGTGAATCATCGCAAGCCAAACATCAGTTCATACATACAGTTACGTGTAACTATATATATAGTTGTAGTTATGCAAGGAGAAATAAAATCAAGCGAGTGCCCATTTTAAAAAATGTCGCAAAATCATAAAATCTACGTTAAAAAAGCAAAAAAAAATCATCGATCGATACACAATGCACATCCTTTTCACTCTGTACTTAGATCACTGACATTACAGCCGTCTCGTGGTTGTTTCATATCCGAAAAGGCTGACGAAAGCACGACTTGCGTTTTTCAGCTCCTAGCCAAATAAACGTCGACCGGAATTACATCTATGTTATATGCGAATGTGCAGACTATTATTATTCTCATTATGATGAATGTTTTTTTTTTTTTAACGGCGAAGTACACGACGGGTAACGGAATGGACGGACGGATGATGCGATGAGAAATGAGATGAGCAGGCCCGGGTCACGGTGGTTTATGGCCAGCAAATTGAACGGCCACAAAAGTCCAAATGAACGTCACCGTCTGAACCATCGCCCCTCTCCTCCTTCTCCTGCCCCTGCTCTTGTTTTGTGGTTCCAACTCTGCCTCACTTCTCATCCAGAGCCAGGGGCAGGTACAGATCCTGCGGACAAAGGAACACACAGCAACAATTAGCTACGCTGCATCTGTGTGGCTATCGAGGTTATTCAGCCTCTCAAGTGGCCTCTCCGGAGGCTTGGTGGATGTTGGGGAAATGGCCCCGTGGATCGCTCGTGCAGGGGGCAGTCTTCTTGCATTGCGTGATTGACGGTTCTAGCTTTGTTAAGTTTGTTAATTGGTGACGAAAAAAAATTGCTTAACAAAGTTTTTTTTGTTACTTTAGTCAGTCGACAAAATCACGACAATTTACGCACCGCGTTCACAGATCGCTCATGAGAGCACGAGTTTGGCGCGTGCTCTTTGGCACATCTCAGTCTCAAGCGTGCCGTCTGTGGGTCGTCTGTCCACGTGCGTTGACACTCACCAAATCGGCTCTTTTGTTGCGCGCGCAATTAAAAACGCCAATGGCCAAATAAAGCGGCGTGCGATCGGACGCGGGGGGCCCGACAGGCTGGGTTTACGAGCAGCCCAAACCACACGGGCAGAGGGGACGCCCGCGGTGCAACGAGGGCGCGGGGCGTGCGAGTGAGCGAGACGGTTCTCCTCCTCCTCCGCCTCCGTTCGCAGAGTCGGGGACGTCGTTCTAACGGCACGCCTAAGTTTGCGTGCTCCCAATTCTCTTGCAAACAAAAAAAACAAAAAGGACACCTCATTGAAAAGGGCGCTGACAAATAAGCCAGGCGATGCAATTGTTGTGATGCGAGAGGGGCGCGAAATTTGTAACGTGCCGCCGAGTTTGTACGTGTGATATCGCGCTTTGAGCTACCAACTTTCGCCGCGTATCAACCCGTGTGACATGATTTTTCCAGGTATGGCGCACTGAGCTATACAGCTATTTTTCCGAAGCTGTCTGGCCACTAATGATAGCTCAGGGTCGGGATTGGAACCCACAACCTCCTGGATACCAGGTGAGGAAGTAAATATCTCGGCACCGATAATATTTTTTATACTTCATATAGCATCGTCACTTACTCAAATTGCATCTCAAAACGCTGCTGTAGAAATTGTAACGAGCACAGTTTTCACACGGAGTCATGGGTAGCCACAGGCAAGCGGGAAGGGGGTAGCCACAACCGGCGCGGAACAATTTCCCAAACTCCGTGGCCCTATGTTGGGATGTTTGGCCAACTCCACGGGGTAAATCTTTGCTCACTTTGAACGAGGGTGACAGTCCGCACCGGCTCAAGGATTCACAGAATGATTCCCTCCCATGGACCAAAGGTTCAACGCAGGCATGGGCCCAACGATCGGCGAGCGCGCTTCCGCTAGGCCGTGCCACCGGCCACGATTAAATATGTGCGATCAAAAAAAACTCTTGACAATAATTTCGTCCCGTGCAGACCAGGCTCGAGAGCCCAGTTGCTCTGCGGCTGCCAGATGTTGAAGCGAGAGACTTACAGCCTCGCTGGCACGTGTTCGTATTTTTCCTGCACGCCTCCGCGTACAGTGCATGCATACCTCCTCCACGGGGGTTCACGGTGCAGAATGAGTATTTGGCGCGACGACTGCCGACGTATCCCGCGAGGAACAAGAGCCGAGAGGGTTCGCAGCGAATTTCCGCTCGTTTGATTTACTCGGAATATTTGCTCCACCACCTTCCCTTTGTATCTACCACGTGCATCACTTTTATCGTTTCACAGATTTATTTTCTCAACGTGACCTCCTTACACGGTGATGAATGAAGGGCTGGTCCGACCCGCCAGGTGGCACGGTGGTTAAAGCATGGCTGCTCACAATTAGGTCACAAGTTCAAGTCTTGGTCAGGTGTTAAATTAGCCCTCCATCTTGTTGGGGGTGAATACAACTAATACCATATTAAGGGAAGTCTGCAGTGGCTGACTCATCCCCCCACCATCATCATTTGCCATGGCCAATCCACCACTTGGATGAAAGCCTCCGCAACCCGCGACAATCTCTCAATTCTTTGATGCAATAAAGCCACCTTGCACCCATCTCCTCGGATGGACGTGCTCCCAGACGCGTTCCATTCCTTTGCTGCCACTCCGTCATGATTCTTGACCATTTGCCATCATTGCTCCGAGTGACGTGTCTGCCCAAGCTCCCCCACCATAAGAATGAGCAAGGCCCCGCTCTCGTTTGAGGCGGAATCCACCGTGGCTTTTGACCTTTCAACTGTGCCAACTCCAGCCAACTACAGCGGTTTATTCCTTCTGCGAGGACACCTTACGATGCGAGGGTGGGGCTTGAGGGTGAGGGGGGGGTCGGGGGTCGGGTGCTCTGACCTTGTTGCGCCGGAGGCTGGACGGGCTGGAGGGGGAGCTGGGAGACGGGGCCGAGCGCGGCGTCGACAGCTGGCTGCCGCTGCCGCCGTTCACTGCACACGAGGGCGACACGCGGGCGATTTTCGGGTGACACGCGGGTGACACACGCGGGCGACACACGGCATGGGAGCGCAAGTCAGGACCACGTGCGAGAGGCAACGGCGGCTGGGACGGGGAACCCCCCACATTCTTCTCTCGCTTCTGGAAATGATCAACGCGTCGCCGAACATTGTTACGCAGCCAACAAGCTTCCTGTGGGGTTGTTAGGATGGTGGCCTGTGGTCGTCGGTGGACCTCCCTGTGACTCGACTGGCGCTGGGAAGGGGCTGCCAGCTCAAACATGAGTCCTGGTTGAGCCTCCCAGAAACCCGCTGTGCGTCTGTGGGTCGCTGCTTGTCCCAACGTAAGCAATTTATATTTTTACGCCTCTCTGCCTTGGTTCTTTAGGTAAAATAAAAATTAGAAATAGAAATATTTATTTATTTATTTTTTATTTTTTTATTTTTTTATTTTTATTGTAGATTTGTTGTTTGTTTTCTATCTACGTTACTTTACCGAAAGAACCAAGAATATGAATTCCTGCAGTCACGAAAGTTTAAAGTCAAATTTAACCGCTCTCTGCCTCCGTTTAATTCCCCTCCATATCCCCGTCCCACTGCATTTTGCAATGCAGATGAGCTGCATCGCAAAAGGCAGGATACGGAGGCTTGCAGCGGATGGGGAATACCACGGGGTGGACATGGGACGGGGGTGGGGATGTGGTTGGTAAGGGAGAGTGGGTGAAGATTGACAGTAGGGGCGGAACGAACGGCCCCCTTCGCGATGCGACGAATCGTCGTGATTCAGGGTCGCAAACTGTTTCGACGATATATCTATTTTTTAAACACTGGTGCACGTAGTGGCCTCTGGTGGCTGGCCGATTGTATAAAATACACACATCGAAAAAAAAAGATCGATGCTTACACTCGCTAATTCAGTACGTGCGTTGCGTAAGTAAAATCAAAATTCTAAATTAATCGGGCCTAGGAGGGGTGGTTAAGATTATTAGGTTCCATTACAGACGAGGTCTTCTGACCCCCCCCCCCTCTCGCCGCTCCCCTCGTTCCTGTTCCCCTTCCTTCCACGACGGCGCTAATTACGAGTGTTGCTGCCTCTAATAGAAGCAAATGAGTGGGCGGTGGCGAAATGCAATTTTAAATACCGGAGACAGCGCCCGTCCGCGCGCGCGTCCGCCGCAAGGCAGCGGAGCAGAGTTGACGCGCGACAGTGCCACTTAATGAAAACAGATCCAGGGGATCGGCGGGCAGGGCAGCTTTCAGCACCCACGCATCGGCGACTCTGAACAAATAATTATTTATGTCCTTGTCGACCGCAGTTTAGATTCCGTGTCTGCGAATCGTCACCACCACCGTCATTATTTTCATCGCACGAAGCGTCGGCTTTGGGGAGGAGGGAGGGGGGGGGGTATGGGGAAGCGGTGTGGATCGTTTCACTCGGTGCCAGTGGCAGACGCATTTTGGAAGTTGGCGGTGGTGGCCTGCGCGTGAACGGTTCCCAGCAGTGACGCATTAGATTATAAATAGTAATTTATCGTTCGTAGCGCACGCAGACTCCGTTCACTCTAAGAGAAAAAACAGAACGAATCAGAATACATGCATTGATGTGCTTGGTTACCAAGAGGAGTTTCTTGGTTCTATAGTCATGCATTACACGCATGCAACTGCTGGCTGCTCACGCGGTACCGAGCTGAGGGACGATTGCACGCCACATCTGTGATTCAAGATTCTTCTTGGTTCTTTCGGTAAAGTCACGTAGAAGGGAAATAATAAAGTAATACTTCCCTTCTACGTGACTTTACCGAAAGAAGGGAAATAATAAAATAATATTACCCTTCTATGTGACTTTACCGGAAGAACCAAGAAGATGAATCCCTGCAGTCACGAAAGCTTTAAATCGAAATTCAAGATTCTGTCAACGAGCACAGTCGAAAGGGGAGAAAAGTAGCAGACTCGAAATTGACCGTGGTTCTCGTCCAAGATGTTGACGCTATCCTTCTTTTGGCAACGTCGAAAATTGTTTTGGGTGTCCAGGGACACCTCCCGCCCTGTGCTCACTGCCCTCCGTTCATCGGGTAAATGGACCGCGTGGGGCTGTTGTGCGCTGGTCCCAGCTGGGAATGGGTGTGTTTTCTTGTCTGGACGGCGTAGGCCTCTGCAGAGGCACCTGCAGCTTCACGGCGACGCGGGGACGCCGACTACGACCAGAATAAATCACAGGAATAATTTTCTTTCTGTGAGAATCTAACGCGCACATTTTTTGTTGTTGTACGCGTTTGATCAAAATTGCAGAAATGAGGTTTCGCACGGAGGCAAGAATGAACGTAAAAGAGACGCGACCGATTTGATGTAACAAAAAAAAAACGCCCGGAGAAATGAATAAATAAATATAAAAAGGGACATCATGCAAGCCAAAGATTAAATGTCAAGAATGTAAAACGAAAGCGCGTAAAACGCGTGACGAGATTAATAGCACCGCGTTTGACGGCTTCGTGCATTCGCAAGTTGAAAGGTAAAGCGTGCGAGGGATTTAACTTCGAAGAGAGGAGGCGTTCATATAAATCGAGGGGGGCCGGCGATCGCGATGGGGCTACGTGGGCTCCGAGCCGCCCCGATGCGGCCGCAGCTCCCACAACCACCGCCCCCCCCCCCCCCCCCCAGGATTTTCTCCTTCCATTTATTCCCCGCCGATCACCGCGTCCGTCCGATATTCTCTCTCCTCAATCTCCCCCCACTCCACACCCCTCTCTCTCCTTCGCGGAGCATTACGCGACCACCTGGAGTCATCCCCTATTGTTTTCCGACCCATTTAACGCCGCGCGTGGCGCACAGCTGTCTGGCTCGGTTTCTGGGCCCCCGTTATGACCTCTCCCTCCTCCTCCTCGTCTGACACAACCCCCCCCACCTCCCCCCCCCCAGCACACACAACCCGACTTCTCTCCATGCGGTCTTATACCCCGATCACCGCCGCCGCCGCCGCCACCACCACCGCCGCCGCCACCATTCTCCCACAAGCACCGTACCCCGCCATTCCTTTCTGATATTTGATCGTCTGGAGGACGTGATGATTCAGCCCTGCTGCTGTGCAAGTCGCTGGTCCATTTCAAAGGCGAGGTTCGGTTGCTCATGATGGACCGCTCAACATTGTAATATTATTATTAAATACTAATAACAACGCGGTGGTTTATGTTGAGGGTGCAATGATAGATATCCTCCCGCCTCTACCCCGGAGTTGCTTTGATGAACCGTCGCAATGAGATTCAAGAATTAATGATTTTGTCAATGTAGCGAGGAATGGAAATGCCTCTGTAGAGGAGAAATTGAGCAAATGCTTAGAACGAATAACCACTGCTTCTCAAGCGATATGATCGATGAATATGCATGTTGAACTTCTTTCGCAGCTAATCAGAAGCTCAAGAGCTGGGTAGTTTCAACAGCAGTTCTGTTATATCTTCTTACAAGGGCTGCTTGTTTAACATGGGGCGACTCACTGCTCCGCGAGAGTTCCAAATGGAATCTTGGTTCTCTAGTGCGATGATGCCAAATACACAGGAGGAATAACACTGGGAGAAAGACACCTACCCACGTCACACAATTAGGTTCATATCTGACTGAATATGTCCTGGCATGTGTGCAAAACATGGGTAGTACGTCCCCCGCACCTCCAATTAGCATGGTTGGCTACGTACGGTGCGAAATAAGTTCGACATACTTACATGCATCATTCGACCTCCTTTGCCAGTACCAAAATATATTAATAGGGTTTTCCCCCTTTGTTCTGGCAACATAACTGACACCTTTTTTACAAGGAATCATGTCTGCATTAACCACAATTCTTGTGGTCAAAATGCAAACAAAAAAGACACTGATAATATATGCATTGTCCTTGAAACTGATTGGTCCACACCAGAGACGGCTTTCTTTTGAGCCTCGTCTCAATTGGTGCTAGACCAGAGGACGCCAAAAGGCGTACAGCGCAAAAACAACGCAGTATCAAAGTAATGAGGGCTCGGGGTAAGCATCTACATCATTAGACCTCTTTTGCCAGTACCACAATATAATAATAGGGGTTTTCCCCTTTGTTCTGGCAACAAAACTGAAACCGTTTTACAAGGAATCATGTGTGCAAACAAAAAAACATACTCTGATAATTGAGACGAGGCTCAGACATGATTCCTTGTAGAAAGGTTTCAGTTTTGTTGCCAGAAAAAAGGGGGAAAACCCTATTATTATACTTACATGTACTGCCACGTGTTTCAGACATGAAGATGATGCAAACCGCACGTGCAACTACAACACTACCTTTACCCCTCGAAGTTCCACTTCAAAACACAGTCCTCTCTTGGGGGCCACTCAGACGAAAAAAGAAAACCTCCAAAACTTCCATCGTCCTCTCCCAACCGACGGTGCCAGATCCCCCTCTCTCTCTTCACGCTCACTTATTTATTGGCCGCACAGTGTAACACGAAATAGCGCGTTGCTTTATGTGGCACATTAGGAATGGATCACTCTTTTAATTATATCCTTGTGCAGCAAGGGAGTAAAGTGTGGTTCTGTGAAAGTCCTGATGTCATGTGCAGTGCATCAATGCATGTGTGTACAGCAGCATGTGTGTACAGCAGCATGTGTGTACAGCAGCATGTCATGACTGAGTCGGGCCTGTAGGTGGCTGGCAGGGTTAATGAATAACCGCACGTGTAAACAAGCCACGTGGTCAATGGCGACTCGGAAGAATTGCTGCGTGTAACACGCGCTGTTGCATTTTACAGAGTGACGGTGCTGTTCTTCACGAGATTAATATTAACCACAAATAATAAATGTGCTTGCCCTCGATTTGGAGCACCTGCCCACGTCCTTCATTTCGAGTGTGCAACATTTAAAACCGGCATGGGGGAACGTGCGAGCGGAGAGAGAGAGAGAGAGACAGCGCACCTGATCCGCCAGGCGACTTGCTCCGGATGGACGGGCTCTTGGCTCCGCTGCGGCGAGGCACAGACGGTGGTCCCCCCTTCCCGGCGGTCGATTTGAGGCCGCGGCAGTCTGCTGAAACACGAGCCGGGACATCCCGAGCAGTTACGCCGGCTCCTCGCGCGAGCCGTCGGGCTTGCTTGCGCCTAACCGAATCGCTCGCGAAATTGGCCGCGAATCTCGATCATCGTCCCCGCGGCTGCTTTTGTCCACATCTGAGCCTGGTAGCCACGCCGCGCTGCGACGATGAAATTAAATGGCACGTTTTTACTTCATTCTGCGCGTGACGAAATGCATCCTTAAATAATCGCCGAGCAGATCGACGCTCGTCAGCGGTGAGGGTTTCTTCTCTCTACCGTAAAAGCAACTGGTCACACAATTTGCTCACGACCGGTTGCAGAGACGCCCGTCGACAATGGATTCAGTTTGCGAGTGACCAAGTTGCGAGTGACCAAGTTGCTAGTGACCAAGTTGCGCAGTGAGCCAACCGCTCCGGACCCGGATTCACAGCACCAACGGTGCGCCTCTCTTGCGCGGGACCTCTTGCACAACATTGCCAACAAAAGCCCCGGCACAACGATCCGGCCTGGGCTCGCACCAACCGGATCTCCCATCTCTTCGGAGCGCCGATCACGTAGAGCTGCCGGATTAGAGGATACAACGGAGTGGAATTAAATCAAAATCCCCCATTAAAGCCCTAAATATGTTTTTTAGCCCATCAGCTTATGGCACTTCCAGGCTTACGCTATCCGGCGGCATTTGTTTCGGCAGGGAAACTCTGGGCAGGTTTTGACCACGTGTCTCTCATCAGCTAAGTCAAGCTCGTGATAATAAACAGCACTGCAAGGCGCCTCGGCAGTGGGAAACGCCGGCCGGAGTTGGGAAAAGACGATTCAAGTTGCTCTACAGGATTCGGACAGGGGCCTTATCATCTGTCCTTCGTCAGGAGCTGAGACCCTCTGATTGCACGGCTAGAAGACGGTGCTTGTACGAGATTTATCAGCCATGTCAGTGTGAGTGGCTCATGTGACCCACAAAAGCAGGTCATTGATTGATTCCAACCAATGACTGCAAACGGCAATATTGTTTCAAAATTCAATATTCACTGGAGAAATGATCTGTTTATAGTTTTACCCATAATCCACTGCAGGAAGGAGCAGTGGTGCAGTGGTTAGCCTACGAAGCTATCACCAAAAGAGCCAGCGTTTAATTCCTGACCACGGTTAAAAATGTCATCATTCTCATAACACCATTAAAATAATCTTCATGCGAATCAGTTCATGAACTTAAGTATTTCACGCCGCCGTAATGCAGTACTATGAAGTAACGCAGCGTGCCCATCGTGTAATGTGTACAAGTCTCGTTAAGTCGCGCACGTTGCTCGCAGCGTACGGGCGGCGAGACATTTCGGTTTTGCTCGCTCACGGTTTGAACGTTTGAACCCTGCACCCGAGACGGTGGGGGGCGGCAAGAGTGGGGGGCGGGAGGGGGGTTGGTCGCATGCTGTGGTTTAATGAGAGAGAAATCATCTACTGCTGGGAGACAACCCCCTCCAGCCATGACTGCCGGGGTCAAAAGGCCACCGTGTTAGCGATCCCAGCCAAATGGAGGCAGCGAAGTCGCCCGACCTAATTTAGCTGAATTCGTTTGAAGGGTAAAGTTGCAGCCCTGCAACTTCTTGCTCACACCGCCGCTGGTAGAAAGATGCTGCCACCAGACGGAGTTCCAGAGAGCCTCTCTACGAGGGAAATTTGGTCGGTTCTTTAACATTTGATTTGCCGGGTGCACAGAAGGTTGCCTGGGGTGGTGGATTTAAGCAAATGCCAAGCCGGGAGATCAAATCAAACTGTCGACCTCTGGATTACAAGTGAAAACACACACATTTAGAAGAAGAATTTCGACAACAAAAAAAGACGATTTGCAAGCTACGACCCGAAGCGTTGGTGAACATTTCTGGCGGCCAAGGGAGCGTGGGGTCCCGCTGGCGAAGGCACGGCGCAGGGACACTGCGGTTTCTGCGTCTGGGTTTTTCTTTAACTGTGTGGCGAACGCACCTGCCCTTGCTGTCCTGCCAATTAGGTGCAGCGACTGAGAGGCCCCTTTTGTGCAGACCCCCCCCTACTCCCACGTAAACACACTCGCGCGCACACACACGCTCGCACACACACGCTCGCACACACACGCTCGCACACACACACACACTTGCGCACGCACACACGTACACTCGCATGCACACAAACGCTCGCACACACACACTCGCGCACACACACGCTCGCGCACAGACACACGTACGCTCGCACGCACACACACATGCTCGCACACACACACTCGCGCACACACACAAGCTAGTGCGCACACAAACGCTCGCACACGCACACTCGCGCACACACACACTGGCGCACACACACACACAAGCTAGCGCACACACACACACTCGCGCACACACACACATGCTCGCACACACACATGATCGGCCCCCTGAAAACGTAACAAACACACAGGCTTGGCTGGCCAGCCTGCCCGGCTGTAAATCTGGGCTCTGTGCACCATAACCAAAATAAACTCCAGAAATCAAAGGTGGAGGGGGAAAATTTTACGTTGTTCCTGTGTTTATAGAATTCGTTTCATTTTCTGAAAAAAAAATCTTTATGGAGCTTTCTGAGGGATGGCGGGCAGAATGAATTATGCTCACTCCTACCTCCGTGGGTGAAATGGCACCTTGTGTCCATGTGTAAATACAATACGTATAAATATTGTGTCCGTGTGTAAATACAAGACATATAAATATTGTTCTAATGATTCGCTTCATCAATACCGACCGGATGCCATTATGTACATTGCTCTGCTCTGACTGCACGACTGTACTTTTATTTAGGAATTCCATCAAATTAATATGATCGTAAACTATTACCGTTACGCTGCTGTTGGAGACTATTAAAATGCCGCACGCTATAGCTGGGGTTTGTGAAATTTTTATGATCAATCTGCTACCCAGGCAACCTCACTATTGTTATAACGTTTTGGGCCAATTCCATTAACAAGGGTTTCGCTTCCTACGGAAGGAAGCCAGAGATCCCAGGATCCCAGAGAAAACCCCACCACTACTTACGAGTGGGTTGCACTCAGCACTGCCAACCCTCTCAGCCGCGTTGCAGCACTCCGCCTACGACGTCCGGCAAGCCTAAGCGACCAGAAAGGGCACGGAGCCCGCTGTTGTAAACCAGGGCGCAGCGTTGGAGTGCGCTGCAAAGCCAGCGAACTGAGTTCAATCAGGATCGGAATATTTGTCTATTCTGCAGAACATATAATTGTTTCTTTCGGTTATGTCACGTAAAAAAAAAATGCAATAAAGTTAAATAAAAAATTTAAATAATAAAATTAAAATAATACATTGAAAATAATAAAAGCAGAAAACCCACAATAAAAAAATATTAAAATAAAATAAAAATAAATTGAAAATAATAAAAGCAAAAAACCCACGACGTTTCGATCGCAACACAAGCGGTCCTCATCAGGCGAAAGAGAGAACCAAGAATATGATTTTCTGCAGTCACGAAAGTTTTAAGTCAAAATTTATCCTGGCGAAATCCGATGAGCTATGAAGCTCAGATTTCACAAATGTCCGGGAGGGGCGCGGGCCAGCAAGTCAAAACAAACAATGTAATAGGCAATATTAAAACATCAAATCAACTGGGAGGTCTGTTCTTCCTCGTGGAAGAACAGACCTCCCGCTACACCACCAAGAGGAAGAACAGACCCTTGGCCACGGCTGGCATCAGTGGTGGGTGTGATATCAGAAACCGTCCTGGGCCCCCTCGTCCCTTCACCAACCCACACCGACCAGCGTGGTCAAGTGTAGCCAAACAACCCCATGACATCTATCGTGTGTGGAGGCTTTCGTCCAGCAGCAGATTGACCAAAGTCATGCGATTTGTTGCGATCACTGTCATAAGCCACCAATCTGCATCACCCATAATACTGTTTTTGTTTAGGTGTGATCGCGTGAATATAAATGTGTCGTTAAACCCACCACCACCCGACGCAACCGGCATCATCTGGCTGCCGCCTGATGATGTCAGTTGTAATTACTGGTGAAACTCTCCAACACACTGGTGTACTCTATCACTAACGAATTGGCATGTTTTGTTCACGTGACAAACCTTACTAATTGGCTGTGTCGGGTGGTGGCGGGTTTAATGACGCATTTATATTTACGCGATCTAACCCCCAAAAAACCTGTATTATGGATGACATTGGTTGCGAAAGCCGACGTGTTAAACTGCGTCACCCAGCCACACACCGACAGCCAAGCAGCTGTAGTTTATCCTGCAGTTCCCATCATCATAGCAGATTGCTAGAATTAACAACCTCGTGATGGGCCTCAAACTACTTTTATCGCGATGGGCCCCACGGAACTTACTCTATCGTGATGGGCCCCATCGTGATGGATCCCACAGTACCTTCTCTATCCAGGATGAAGTCATCTTGAGCGTAGCGGAATTTCTCCGGCCCGCAGGCAATGAAAACGTCGTCATCTCCGAAGAAGTCCTGCAGGCAGGCGATCTGTCGTCATCCGGGGAGGAGAGGCAAGGTGGCAAGGAGGTGGTGGTGGGGGGGGGGGCACGGGTGGGTGGAAGGAGAATGGGGGGGGGGCAGGGATGAGTGACAGAAGAGACAAAGAAACAAAAATAAGCGCCGACCGTGTGCGCCGCATTCCGAGACACGTGTGGCCGTAAATCCCGAGACGGCTTCCAGATGCGGCGGCGCAAACCAGACTTCTCAGACCATCGCCACGCGTATTATTTTTTGTACGTCTAACTAAACAAAAAGCAAGCAAGCAAAGCCCCGGCCATAGCTATCTAAAGGAACACGAATAACTTAGCCAATTCATTATAAATCTGGGGAAATGACAGAGTAAGTGCAATGAACCCATAAAAAATGGCCTTTGATGTGTTGCCAAGAGATTACGCTTTTCTGGGAAATCTCTTCCAAAGGAGTGCCCCCCCGCCCCCGCCTCCCGCTCTGCGTAGACTTGGGCAGCACCGAGCGGAGCTCGCCGAGCGAAGCGCCGAGCGAAGCGCGTCCAAGCAGGACGCATCTCTCGGCCAGACGACTAAAACATGCCGATTACCGTCGTCTTCAGCACACAAAAGGATGCTCGTCGGGGCAAAATCATTTGGAGAGGGAGGGAGGGGTGGTGGTGGGGGGGGAAGCGTGCGGAAGAAATCATGCATTGTAAATCAAGGCGCAGTGCAACTCAAAACCGGAAAATGCCTCGAGAAGCGAAGAGTCGCCAAGAAAATTCGCAAGAAGCCGAATTTGCAGGTGCGGGGAAAGAAAAAAAAACCCAAACAAGTCCCAGTTCTCGCTGCCGGGTGGCGATCTTTTGGATGTTTTTAGCCCCCCCCACCACCCCCCTTAAATCTTTCGACGCTTTACTGAAACCGCAATGACGACGTGCATTTAACTGTGCGAGCGCCCTGGACAGAGAATACGCCAAACCTCTCGGTGGGTCGCGGTGGCGAGATGTCAACTACCTCGCCTGGTATACAGGAGGTCGGTGGTTCGATCCCAATCCTGACACTTGTTTCAATGGAGTTTGTACGTTCTCCCCGTGGTCTCGTGGACTTTTCTCTGGCTCCTGCCTGTTTTTCCCTGCACATTTAGAATCATGCACTTAGAGTATTTGGCTGCTATAAATTTCCCCATGATAAGCCACTTCATTGAGCTATCATTTGTGGCCAGGTCGCTTCTGAAAAAGAGCTGTATAGCTCAGTGGGCCTTACCTGGTAAAGTAAAAAGTTTAGTTTTACAGGTTAGGATACCCGGGTGCCGAATACGATGAGAGAAAATATGGATCTTTGCAAAAAGGTGTCGGTGGTAAAGCTACAATAGCTTAAATTTCGATTTAAAGCTTTCGTGACTGCAGGGATTCATCTTCTTGGTTTATTCGGTAAAGTCACGTAGAAGGGAAATAATAAAAATAAAACATAATAAAATAATTCTCACGACGTTTCGGCTACAACGCAAGCAGCCGTCCTCAGGTGAAGAAACGTCGTGAGAATTATTTTATTATGTTTTATTTTTACTATTTTATTATTTCCCTTCTACAATAGCTTGCTCACGCGACTTTCTGGCAGAGGTAACCCCTCGAGGTGCCTCTCTAAGAGAGGCTACACTTGTCCCTACTCTCCCATGGTGGTCAGACATCTTGGAAGGGGTGGGCAGTGGCCACACTTTACCGCACCATACACGACCTGCTGCCTGACTGACTGTGGTGCATCCATGTATTGTGCTGGGTGGACAAAGGCGGTGAGGCGGGGGAAATTTTTGAATAAAATCGCCTTGTTCTTTCAACTGCCACGCAGGGAGATCAACGAACTGGCCACCTCGGGGGTTGACCCTTGCACGACCCCAAAACCCAACCACAAATACGCCTCGCGAAAGAATAAAATACCGCAGATCGCATACACACCACACACCCGCGCACACTCGCAGAGGCAGATCGCATTGTTAAAATATTCATCAAGCGTAAAACAAACACGGCATTGTACGGCAGCTGTGAGAAATTAGGTCTTCGGTCTGCCAGCCCTAAGTGTGCCCAGGTGAACCTTTGGAATGAGAGCTCAACGGAAGCTTTGGGAATTAATGAAACGCATTTTTCGAGCGCGGACGTCAGTCTCAACAGGGCTCGCGCAGATTGCCAAATCCTGCGTGGAATTGAGGTTCTAAGTTTGAGGTCAGGACGCGACCCACTGCAGTCCAAGAACGGTGCGGTGTTTACTTTTAAGCTGGGAGAGCGAACATGCGGGTGATGTTTCATATTGGGATAGATGAGAAAAGTAAGCAGGCCTTTCAGTAGGATATGTCCACCGATAAGTTCAATCAACTCATGTGCACTCACAGGGACGACTATGTGTGGCTGGGTGGGCGTGTGTGGGTGGAGACCAGTGGTGTTCACAGCAGCAGGTCGCCAGACCCAAAAGATTGTGGGCCAGTGCTTTCGTCGAAAACGTTGTGCGGAAACCTTGGAGGTGTTATCGATTCTGAGCCTCCCGTTTTTCTCTTGGCAACATCTCAACTCTGCAGGACCTCCGGCTTGTGCAACGCCTCTCACATCCCCCATTCCCTTGCCTCGGCTGCCGCCGCTGCTGTGAGCCTCATTGTGTGTGTGTTATATTTTTATTTTACCAGGTGTAATAAAGAACTCTCTCTCAGATGTCGATCTCCGTTGTCCTTTATTGGGTTCGTAGAATCTCGTTACCACGGCGTCATCGCTCAGGCCCGCGTCCCTCTCGACGATCTCTCCACAGCCACTCGGCTGCTGCGTTATACAGTCTCCCTGCTGCTCCGATATGCAGTCTCCCTGCTGCTCAACCTTGCAGCCACACCGCTGCTCCGCTCTCTAGCTTCACTGCTGCCCCGTATACAGCTAGCCTCCCACAGCCGTTAACTCTCTGCGTCTGACACCGATGGCTGACGGTGTCGACGTCTCCCACCGCGTGGCGACCGTGCCACTCTCTCCGTCCTGCCCAGCGTGGCCTCCTCCTGTTTCACTCCGTCTCAACTCCCCTTTCCTCTTCCGGTTCTCCCCCTAAATCCTCTCTGCAACGTGACCCGAACTCCACCCACTCCGCACATGACCCAGACTCCGCCCCCCCCTCAATCCTTGCTCGCATTACACAGGTAAGACTCACGGAGCTATATAAGCTAATTTTCTGAAGCGATCTGGCCACAATTGATAGCTCAACGAAGTGGTTTATCATCATGTGGAAATGTATTGCAGCCGAGTACTCTAAACGCACGTTTCTAAACGTGGAGGAAAAAGCTGGAAGTCCCGGAGCAAAATCGACGCTCCAAAATTACAGGCGTCAGGGTCGGCATCGAACCCACGACCCCCTGTATACTAGGCGAGGTAGTTAACATCTCCCCACCGTGGCGTCCTCATCCGTGCCTTCATCACAGCCCGGCTCAACTGCTGCCACTCTCTCCTCTACGGCCTCGCCAAATGCCGCACCTCCAAAACTCCAGATGACGTAACATTTCCACTGGCCAGACTCCTCACGCACACCCATTTACGAGCTCACACGACCCCGATACTCTCATCTCTCCGGATCCTTCCGCTGGCTTCTAAGTCAATCGCAGTTCAATTCCAAGATCGCTCTCGCCATCTTCAAGATCTTCCACGGATTTGTCCCCCTGCCCACCTCCCCCCTCCACTAACCCTCTCACTCTACTCCCCTCCATTCACTTTCCGCACCAATAACCAAGGGTTTGTATCGAAGCTACCAGCGAGAGGGAGGGGTCGCTCTTTCTCCATTGCTGCTCCCGTTGTCTGGAACTCTAGCCACTTGAGCTGTCAACTCCCTGCTCCTGTTAAAGTCCAGGCTACGTCGGTCTCATTCTCTCCATACAAATAAATCAGCGCGTATCATCTGCTCTGAACGCTCACGTGCCATTGTTTTTTTGTAGGGCATCTTACACGAAGTGGTTGCATTTAGATGCAACATAAATTCGAATTGCGTTGCTCTGTGCGAGTGCTTGCGTGAGCCCACTTGACCCTGGTCGCGAAGCAACTCCGCTGCTGCTCCTGCTGCTTCTTCGAGAGCGGCTTTCTCAACGCAGCCAGGATCATCGCATTGTGACTCTGGGGCGAAGCTTTCACAAGAAGCGCCGCCACGGGCGGTGGGCACCGTCTGCCATTGTAGTGGCGACGCGCGTCTGCGGGACAGCGCTGGGGCGCGCGCATGGTCGTTGTCAAAACATTCACGGCGGGCGCCCCATACAAACCCGCGCCAGTGAATGCACGCATGCACGCGTGTGTTGTTTTCTGCGACATTGAACAAACAAAACACAAACCCACGAGGCTCTTTGCAGCTCTGTTTCTCCGGCGGCTGTGATTGACCCCGTCGCGACCTTCCAGACGTGACCCAATTCTCCAACATAAAGCGCGGCCCGCCTCGTCTCATCAACATTGCAGCAGCAGCGTCCGCATCTCAAACCCCCCAAATCCCCTCGCTCCCTCTCTCCGCAGTACAGAGGGGGCACAAGCCCCGGATTTTCCCAAATGCCCATCACTCGCTACAGCTGAGCGGCGTGAATGATTCATGCGGTCGCCCTGCATCGCTGTCCCAACCAGACCATGCCTGACGTCTGTGTAAAGTGCAAAAAAAAAAAACATCAAACGGCCAATAAATAAGTGCTGTGGTGAGCGCACGAGGGTGGATGCGCCGCTGCTGGTGCATCGTAGAGATCGGCAAAGCGTGGGAGTTGGCGTCAGCGTCTCAGCAGGGATTCGTATTCAAGCGGAACTCCGTGGGGATGGGGCTTTAATCTGACCCAAAATTTACACCATCATTATCGTCGTGTCCGAGAGGCTCGTGCGAAACGCACGACAACCCTCGGCGGCACAGCGGAGTAGGATGCGGATCGATTTGCGCGAAACGTTTGGACGTCGGTTCTTCTACGATTTCCATTCCGATGGAGCTCTCGGCGTCATGTGAGGGCGACTCTGTGCCGGGAGGCACCGTCTCGCCCCGGGTTGGACAACGGAAGGATAATTT